GCCTTGATGCAGCGTTTTAGCTGAGCCAAGTTCCCTGTTCTGCATTTCTCAAATGCAGTCAGTTTCCAGTTAAGTTGCCAGAACAGTAAATAACAATATTTGCTTAGGCAAGAAAAGTCACTGACTTCAAGTATAAAAATGATCTTGCTGTGACAGCAAGGTGGGAGTTTATTGGCTACTGTTTGCATGCAGCTGCTGACAACAGAGCTTAGAAAGGATGGGAAGACAATCGCAATAGCAAAAGGAAATGAGAAGGCAGCCTTTAATATTTTTTAGCACACTGGGCTAAAGTCCTGTCTGCACCACAGGAGACTTCTTATGGGTTGCATAGGCTGTGGTGCGTCTCTTCTTTATAGTTATCACTTCTCTGTCTGTTTCTCTAGTCTCTTCAAGTATTATATCACACCACTGGTGCTCCCAGGGCAGGACTTGGGACAGAAACCAAGGACCCTCCTTAGCTGTCTAAGGGGGAGCTGGTTTACCACATTCTGAAGTAAGCTAAGTAAAATACATGACCGCTGAAAGAGGGACAGGGCCCATGAAACCGTTCAGTCCAAACTTTAAAACTACTTGACTGCAGACCCTCCAAGTGTCCCTATTTTCCAGGGACAGTTCCAGCTTTAATGAAGCTGTCCCAGTTTCTGATTTGATCCCGGAATGTCCCGCTTTTCCTTAGGACATCCCTATTTTCATCAGATAAATGTTGGAGGGTATGGAGTTATGCGAGACAAGGAGATAAGTAACTATGCAACCTTTAGAAGAACTCTGAAGGCAGCCCTGTATAGGGAAGTTTTTTAATGTTTAATGCTTTATTGTGTTTTTTCTATATGTTGGAAGCTTCCAAGAATGGCTGGGGCAACCCAGTCAGATGGGCAGGGTATAAATAAATAAAAATTGTTGTTGTTATTATTATTATCATGGAATTGGACGTCCCTATTTTCTATGGAGGGTATGTGACTGCACCACTGTGCCGGTCCCTAGGAAGGCTACCAATTTGCAACCTACTAAGCTAAATACCCACAACAACACATGCAGTATTCTTTAATCCCTCGCTTCTTTTGAAGCGCCATACAAGTAGCACATACAGGAAGCTTACTGAGCCTTTGTTCATTTGCCACTTGTGGCTGGTGGAGAGGCGTTCAAGTTTGTCAGCCACAAATTGTGCTGGCCTATGGCGGCTATTGGCCAGAAATTAATGCATACACCGCATACCTCGAACTTACATGCACACTAACAGCAAGCATGGCTTGGCTGGGCTTTTCTTGCTTTCTGGATTTGCCCCCTCCAATGCTGACAGCTGACACCAACAGTCCTAACCACTGAACAACCATGAGTGTTCAGGGCAGTCATTCCAGCTGACCTCTGCTTCACTGCCGCCTCACATCACTTGGCCATAAGAACACCAGGTCCTCCACCTGCTCAGTCACTATTCAGCAGTGGTGACCTCTAGTTACCCATTCCTCACTGGCTGGTTACGATTATTCATTTATGCTGAGCAGGGATGAGAAGACTATGGCTCTCTAGGTGTTGCAGAAGTCCATCTCCCATCAGCCCTGGACAGCAGGGCCAAGGGTGATGGAAGTTGCAGTCCAAAAACAACTGGAGGGTGCCATATTGGCTACCCTTGAGCTGTGGGGTTTTAATAGGTGAGCAACTCACAAGTACCACACACATAGGGGATAGAAATCCCTATGGAAAATGAGATCATTGGAAAGTATCAAGTCCAAATCATGAGCTATATAGCAAGAACCGCATTCACAGTTCCCCAAGAGAGTGTACTTTCATTTTTGCATATGCAAATATTTTAGGTGTTTGAAAAAAACATTTTTGTACAAAAATGCAGTATTTTAGTGATCTGTGCTCTGTTGGCATAAATATATATACAGTATGAGCTTCCAGGTAGCACATGTGCTTTATGAAGAGCCTGGAGTAAATCTGAACCTTGTATCAAAAGAGAGAGAGAGAAAGTTGTCCGCTATTTTACTTCCCATTTTCTGTATCTAACACATTAGGTGCAGAAGCTGCCCATATCGGTGAATGGAAAAGTGTTTACACATCAGGCTTCTCAGAGTTTTGAGGAGGGTTTTTTTTTTTTAACAAAAAAAAATATGCACATGTTCTGCTACCATTCTTAACAGTATTTTAGAATAATATTTCCCAATGTCATTCAATAAAAAAAATAGGAAACTGGAGTGTGCTTCTTCATCTCAGACATGATTGATGATCTGGAAAGAGACTGGAGGTGCTGTCATTAAGCTGACATACACTAAGGCAAGGAAACCAGAAATGCAGCATTTCAAACAAGAGAAGAAACATTATTCTTGTTCTCATCAGCTACACTTACGCAAGAGTCTACTTTGTTGTTCCTCCTTTCCTGCACATTTGGGAATGCATTCTGAATTCTCTGTGCTTCTTCATGACAGAGCGAGAGCAAGCGAGTGAGAAGCTAAACTTTTAAAGCTTGGCTTTTCATTGGCAGTCTACCACATGCATGTGTGTTTCAACTCTTGCTGGGATAATTGCCCAACTTTGGAAATCAAATCCTCATGCCAAAGGAAATCATCATCTGCAAACGAAGGCCTAATGGTGGGATCTCTCACATCCTATTCAGAAGTAGCCAGCTCTGAATTAACAAAAGCTATTATATAAGAGATCTGTCAGTTCTACTTGTTTGGGCATTGTACAATCATTGCTAGACCGTTATGAGAAAATCCAGACTTATATAATAAGGCTAGACATATCCAGACAAACCTCAAAAGAAGCAAAACCATGGAAAATTCATAGGAGGAAATCTTGTTCAGTTTTTAAAATACTTTGTGGGAATGTTTTTTAATTACCCTATATCAGAAAGCTAAGAAGGCAGAGCTGGGTCAAAAAGTAATCATGTGAAAACAGAGTATTAGAAACCCCACTCTAAATTTGGATAACTTGTTTTTCCTTGCCTCTTCCTGTTTGTTTTAACTTTGGTCAGTTGAAATAAACAAGGACTCCACTGTAGTTTGGTATCCTGGTTTGGCAACTGACTACCCCCAAGTTAAGGAGATAAGTTAAGGAGATAAGATAAACCTTTGGAAGATATCTGAAGGCATTCCTGTATAGGGATTTTTTCCCTTAATGTTTAATGCTTTATTATGTTTTTATATATGCTAGAAGGTGCCCAGAATGGCTGGGACAACCCAAGCAGATGGGCAGGGTATACATAATAAAATTATTATTATGGAATGGGACATTCCTGTTTTCATTGGAGAAATGTTGAAGTTAGAACAAACCACAGTTCCCTGAGTTCAGAAGTAGCAGCAAACTACAGTTAGTTTTAAGGTAAAATATTTTGATCTGTTCCTCACACACAGGAAGTAGAGGAGAAAGGGAGATTGCAGGAGCCTATGGTTTATTCTTTCAATCAGAAGCCGCCGTTTGTTGTTACATGAACTGTGAAGACACCAATTTCTACAAATTGTGCTTCTGCTGGGACATGGACCTTGTTGTTCTCCCTCATGTTTCTGAAGGGCCTGCAGATGGAATGGTGTTACATCAGAATAGGTGTGTGTTTCCTTCTTCCCCAAAGCTAAGTACATCAGAAAATCTTTTTTAAAATTAAAGTTTTTAATCATTGCAAATCTTAGTTTTAACCATTTATCACAGAGAAGTGGGCACAACAGGCCTGATTGTTTGGAATTTAGATTTCCCCCCACTTCCCCCCTTGGATCTTTTCTCCCAGTTCTTACAGAGACAACCAGAGCAACGTGGGATTTCATTTGATAATCCATATTTCATGCAAAACATTCTCACCAGCAGGCCAAAATGAGATTGCTACCAGATTTTAAAAATGTATGAACAACTACCCTGTATAAATAGGTCCTCAGGACACCACAGGGTGATTTGTCATTGCCTTGCCACAATTTAAATGTGACATCTGAAAACCCTGTGTATTAGGAATACCAATGATCTGCACATTTAGGCATATCCCTTATCTCATAAACCCACAGGCTGTCAGAATCCCAGAGCTCTATGACTATTTCTTATGTTAATAAAAGGTGTGGGTTTTTAAAAATAAATAAATAAAAATTATAGGATATACTTTTTGGTAAGCAACCATCCGAGGTTAGATTTGTTAGCTTTTGTGACAGAAAGCCAGACAGAAAGCAAGACAGGGTACCTGAATATGTGCCAGATTTGAAGGGGAATTGAAATTTCTTTTGCATTTTTCTAAAAGAAGTAAAATTAGTAGGAACTTAATGCATCTTAAATATAAAATGTAAAGTAAATAAATCTTGGTGTGGCTAGGGAAGAGGTTTTGGCAACGAGGCTATTCTTGGATTATTAATGCTGCAGCTATAACGTTTTCTCAGCATCATTGTTGAAAGGATGCCCCACAAATTCAGCAGAAACAGATGTTGAAATCCTGAGGTAAAACGGTAGGCCTAGTGCATCTTTTGAAGACTTCCCTAAGCAAAATGCCTAGCTGAGGTACTTCACCTGGTGTGCCCCATTTTTAGTTAATTATTTCTGGCCCAGATTAATTATGGGATAATTAACTGCTCAGTCAACAAACATGAGGAGTGCTAAACCCCTGGCAAGAGGGCAATTGTAAGAGAACTCTGTGAATGACTGCAGCCACATTGTTCATATACGATTGACCCTGCCTCTGGTGAACTTTTGGAAACCCATCTATTCCACACCAAGCTTTTATGTGGGGTGACCACCTAGCCAGATTTTTATTGTAGTGATGATGATCACAGCTCTTGCTTTATGTTTAGCTGCCCTTCCATAGGTGTTAACTTACAGATTTGAAAATAAGGGACCAGCAGCCAAAATAAGGGATTTTCCGGGCACAGGTATGTTCAACTTCTGAGCCCCTCTGAACCAAAGGCAGAAAGCCCAGCCAGCAGCCAAATGAAGCCTCATCAATAAGGGACAGCAGTGGGACATGGCGCTGGGATAAGGGACTGTCCCGCCAAATAAGGGACACTTGACAGCTATGCCCTTCTTATTTTCCTGTTTATAATTGCATTAGTGTGTGTGTGTGTGTGTCTGTACACACACACACACACACACACACACACACACAATCATACCGTAGTAGTGCATCATATTATGAAGGATGCCCTGGAAATATTTTACACAAACAAATAAAAAACAAGAGTATTTCAAAGCTGAACTTGGGCTGCAGTCCAGTATACACATGGGAGAGAGCCCTATTGAACTCAACAAGGTTCATTTATGATTAGAGGTGTATACAGTTGCACTGTTGATGGATTATTCAGAGGAACTAAGCTGCTTTTTTTTCATACAGTTGAAATCACCTAGCTGAAAGGCACACAGGTTGTTATTTACTTGTTTTAAAATATTCCAACCTAAGGACCCCACCTTTCCAATAAGACCCCCCTTTGGAGCAGCTTGGAATTCATTCATACAAGACAAACGATGCACATTCAAAGGAAAGCTCAACTGATGTTTCAGTCATAACAAATCCATGCTGTGAAATTAGGATTTTGTAGGGCACAATATGCCCACTCAAACCCATAGAGCACCCTTTTTTTTGAAACTTGTTCCCAGATATAATGATCTCTGCTGCCTCTGGAGCAAAAACATTAGCCTACTTTCCAGGTCTTTGTTTCAGAGTTGAGGGAAACTCAGCTTTTGCTGCTGCTTGCTTAAAGAGTCCACCTCTTCCCTTACTTCTCCATATCCTAAAGTCAACAAGTGCTTGGTCTGTTATACGGGTGGTGGCCTGATGTGGATTTAATTAACCTATTGGTGCCTAACACTATCAATCTCTTGCCTCCAAGCATAATTTAAGACCTCACTGTGTCACTCATTACTACCTTGTAATCTTGGCTTTTTGCTGGAAATAATGTTATCCCATTGCAATTGTGCCAGTTAGTTATTTCAGCCAAGTCAAACAGCAGCATATCTGAAGCTTAACCTCAATAATCCAAGTACATCCCTCGGCTCTGTGCTCAGGCAAGGCAAGAGGTCTATCTCTGGATATATATTGAGAATATCAGACTGCATCATGCTGGCAAGGAAAGTAATATACAGACAAAGTTGCTGGGAAAGACCTCACATTGAGATTCTCACAGAGCAACTTTGCTGAGTTCCCAAAACTCAAGAGCAAAGCACTAAAGCAAAATGGAAATGGCTAAGAGTGTATGCTTTGCATGCAAAAGGTCATAGGGCTGCTATATTTTAAAAAGCAAAAAAGAGGGCACATTTGCCGACTTCTACTTTTAAATATGGATCACTATACCTACTCTAGGGAGACGGGTGGCGCTGTGGTCTAAACCACAGAGCCTAGGGCTTGCCGATCAGAAGGTCAGCGGTTCGAATCCCCGCGACGGGGTGAGCTCCTGTTGCTCGGTCCCTGCTCCTGCCAACCTAGCAGTTTGAAAGCACATCAAAGTGCAAGTAGATAAATAGGTACTGCTTCAGCAGGAAGGTAAACGGCCTTTCCGTGCACTGCTCTGGTTCGCCAGAAGCAGCTTAGTCATGCTGGCCACATGACCTGGAAACTGTACGCTGGCTCCCTTGGCCAGTAAAGCAAGATGAGCACCACAACCCCAGAGTTGTCCGCGATTGGACCTAACAGTCAGGGGTCCCTTTACCTTTACACCTACGCTACCTATGAAAAAGAGGATGTGTCCTGGAAAAAGAGGACATATGGCAACCCTGTATAGGAACAACCCCTGACTTCTCCAGGTAGGACTGGAAAGACTCAGTGGTGTAGCGTGGTTTGTCAGCACCCAGGGCTGGGCGGAGGGGTGGGGTGGGAGGGAGGGAAACGGAGCGTGCATGCTCATTCAACTGTCTAATGCCGTCTGCTTCACCCAGGATGTCACAGTCATAGAGATAAGAAAAGAAGAGCTGTTCCATGGTCTGGAGAGGTCACTTCCTGGTTCCCATGGAGAAGCCATTTTCAACAGAGCCCAGTGACAGGAGTATACAGCTCTATTGGGGCAGCACCAGTTGTTGAAATTTTGCACCACTAATAATTTTGCGCACAGGACATCTGCCCTGTGCCACCCCTCATGCTACGCCACTGGGAAGATTCCCGTCTCAAACCTTGAGCTAGATGGTCTTGCACAATTAAAGGGGTCCCTTGCCATGAATTAAATCATGGTTCCTATACTAAGACACATTTTGATCTCCATCTCCTGAACCTGCTATAGAATCTTACAGGGCAGATACATAATCAGCTAAGAGTATTGTTGAATTTCCATCTAATAATCTGAAAGGTAACTTTTTAAAAAAACTGTATTTGGTATTTTAAAAAGGTACATTTTACAGTTTTTTAAAAAATAAAATAAAAAGTGTAGGCTGTGGAGGGGCATAAACAACTTCAATGAGTTGTTTCTCTTTGAAACCTGGGAGTTCAGAAAATTATTCATTGGAATTGCTCTTAAGGAATCCCTTCCACCACCACCCCGCCCCCAGTATGAGGTCTTCAATGTTTTACAGTGAACTGGCAATAGAAGACATGTGACAAAAATCAGCCTGGATAGCTCAGTTAGAGCATGGTGCTGATAACGCCAAGGTTGCAGGTTCGATCCCTGTATGGAAGAGCTGCATAGTCCTGTATTGCGGGGGGTTGGACTAGATTATCCTTGGGGTCCCTTCCAACTCTACAGTTCTGTGAATTTGTGCATTGTCTTTTTACTCTTCTGGGTATTGTAGAAAGTCAGACCTCACTCATCCATCTGCATTATGGGAATTTGGTTATGCTCTCAGTGCGTGGACAGTGTTCCCTTTGTACATTACTTTAAATGTGCAAAAAGATGTAGAGCATTGTACTTTTCAGCAATTTCTAATTATGCGCTCAGACGCTCTCAAATCCTTACGACAACAAAGTAAAAACAGGGACCCATTTATTTGGATTCCCTACAGCAAATAGTATGTAAGCCTTGCAAAGGAAGGTCATGGAGAACGAATTATTTGGTTTTATGCCAAGTCTTTGGTTTCATACAACAGGTACTTGCCAGATAGTTGTTTCAGCTCTAAATGCAAAACTCATGCTTTTGTTTCTTGGCACAGTTTTTGAAGGGAAGCTTTTCAGACAGTGAATCTACTGTATCTCTGCAGCTCTTTGGGGAAGCAAATAATCCTGGTTTCCTGTTACAATATACATTCCGGTGCCTCACAGTGATGGCCCATAAGGCTGATGAGAAACAATTTCTTTCAACCTGCCTGAGGTTTTGGTCTTGCTCCATCCAGTGGGTTATACTGGAGAACTTTACGGAAGACAAGATGTTGGATGGATTAATTTGCATGCTTCTTTCCTGGGAATGTTTTGCGAATAGGCCTGGACCATATATGTTGAAATGCCTGTAAGGCAAATTAGAAATTTGAGCAGCGGGATGGTGTGCCTTATTTTTATGTCACCATAGCAGCATGCTGAAGCAAGCAGCTACCGATCTACTCGCTGCTACTCTGCAGTGCCACCACCGAAGATGGCCAAGAATGGTATTGCAGCTCCCACACAAGCAAGGATAAGGTGATACCGGAGACCAGAAAGACAGAGTTCCCTTTGTTCTGCTGCTGATTCTGGTCTGCCTCTGCGGTCTTAATAGTTCTTCATGCCTGGAAAGACTACGTTACTCATGGGATGCCCATTGTTGATCATCAGCTTGACTCTAGGCCACTAGCTCTGATTCAATCCTCGAATCTAGCTCCATTAACTTGTCTGAATTAATTTTAAGATGTATTTTAATTAATTGATGTCTGTTTTTATGCATGTTGTGTTGTTTTTATGATGTTAGCCACTTTGACCCTGGCCTCAACCAGGGAGGGCAGGATATAAATATATTTTTTTAAAAAAATATTATTATTTGTTTTTGGGTTTTTTAAGAAGTTCTGTGCAGATGACCTCTCAAAACTTTTCAAGCTATATGTGAGCAGGGAAATTCTATCATCTATCTATCTATCAAGCTTATCCGTCTATCTATCTATCCATCCATCCATCCTGCTTGACCCCATAGATTGCAGCCTTAGGAAAATAGAAGCAATATACATCAGATTTGTGCAGGCTTTTAAAAAGTTAAGTTGATAAAGCAAATCAGTTAGCTTTAAATCCTCACCGATCACTGGTCATGCTAGTTTTTGCATATGGACTCATCAGTACTATCCATGATTTAACACCACATCGTACCACTTTAAAGAGTTATGGTTTCCGCCAAAGAATTCTGAAAACTGTAATTTGTTAAGGTGGCTGAGAGTTGATAGGAAACCCCTTTTCATTTCACAGATCTGCAATTCCCAGAATCCATCTTCCCAGGGAATGCTGGAAATAATAGCTCTGTGAGGGAAACCTGGGAATTGTAGCTTTCAGGACCCTTGACAAACTACAATTCCTAGGGTGGTATAATAAGTGCTTTAAATGTATAGTGCAGGTTGAGCCATGAATTCTCCTGACTCTTTCACTCCTTTCTGTGGTCACCTCGAGCCTGTACGCTACAATTTCTGCTTGCTGTCTGAAACTTTCAGAAAGACTGAGTAAAATTCAAACAGAAGAACTGTTAGAAGAACTGGTTCTGCAACATAGTGCTTCAGGGTAGCTTTCCATTTTAAAAAGAGAGGGGAGGGAGGGAGGGAGGCTGATGTTTTTGATCAGTCATACCCTTGTTTATCAAATATGAGTGTGTCCTCAAAATTGCCAGATATATCTTGCAGCCTGCTGCAGTACCGTGTTACAGAGAAAGATGGTGGCTCATGCAATATTTCTGGATGTGCTTGAGCGGTTAAAAAGCCCTTGTTTTTCTCTCTCTCGGGGAAGGGGAAGTGTGCCATTCTTTTGCATCTCTCTTTCCCAGTGCCAGCATTAAGCAGACAGCTCAGTCATGTGATAGCCTAAGCCACAAAAGAAGTGAATCTGAAATGCAGCCAATTCCCCCCCCCCCCGCCTCCCATTTTCTGCTCAAAAATTGCTCTTTTGCAGGAGATGGGATTAAGAGGGCCACAGCACAACTACAACTGAAAAATAGCATCGTGGAATTCTAGTTGCATGGGCTACAACACTCCTGAAAGAAAAGGAATTATCTGTCTATGAATTGCTGGGCTGCTTAAAGCAAGGCAACTATATTTGAGAATTTGGATCCCGAGGTGAAAATAAGTAAAACAACAGCCTCTGTTTCTTCTGTGGAACAGCAGGTGGCACTCCTACCTCTCAAATCTGTTTAGGTCATTGGCCAACCCCCTTGTTCCTCTTCTTATTCCCCCCCCTCCCTTTCATGTGAAATCTTAGCCACAGGCTTTAACTTAATACACGGCTCTGCTTTCCCCTTAAATAAATTTTACCAGATAGATTTTTTTATATTGATCCAACTTTGTGGTCCATAAAGCAGAACATCTCTCGGTGTGCCTCTTGACCAGGAGGCTGCTGGTAATATATACTGTGATTTATTCCGTGCAGTTGAGTTGTTAGTCAAAGTGCAGTTTATTCAGGTGCTATTTTGTAAGTCCAACTCAAACTCAATCCAGGTCCTGGTCTGCTGCCCCCGAATTCACAACTATTGGCTAATCTAAACACATCGTTGTTTATAAATATATGGGCAAATGGCATATTTGATGGGCAAACTGCTTATTTCCAGGGGTTATTTTTTTATGCATCTAGGCAGAATCCAACAGAGAGTTAGGTATACTGAAGACTATCAGAATTGATTGGTTAACCTCAACTGTTTTATGTTTGTTTTGGAATCTGGCTCCAAAATCTGTTAGATTATTAGTCCTAGTTATAACTAGAGATACAAGAAGAGGTGGATGGATTTGCTCAGTTCATGACACAGTCCTATGCATGCCGTATATTGTCTCCCTGCTTATTTAACTTATATGCAGAATTCATCATGCGAAAGGCTGGGCTGGATGAATCCCAAACCGGAATTAAGATTGCCGGGAGAAATATCAGCAACCTCAGATATGCAGATGACACAACCTTGATGGCAGAAAGCGAGGAGGAATTAAAGAACCTTTTAATGAGAGTGAAAGAGGAGAGCACAAAATATGGTCTGAAGCTCAACATCAAAAAAATGAAGATCATGGCCACTGGGCCCATCACCTCCTAGCAAATAGAAGGGGAAGAAATGGAGGCAGGAAGAGATTTTACTTTCTTGGGCTCCGTGATCATTGCAGATGGTGACAGCAGTCACGAAATTAAAAGACACCTGCTTCTTGGGAGAAAAGCAATGACAAACCTAGACAGCATCTTAAAAAGTAGAGACATCACCTTGCCAACAAAGGTCCGTATAGTTAAAGCTATGTTTTTTTCAGTAGTGATGTATGGAAGTGAGAGCTGGACCATAAAGAAGGCTGATCGCCAAAGAATTGATGCTTTTGAATTATGGTGCTGGAGGAGACTCTTGAGAGTCCCATGGACTGCAAGAAGATCAAACCTATCCATTCTGAAGGAAATCAGCCCTGAGTGCTTACTGGAAGGACAGATCGTGAAGCTGAGGCTCCAATACTTTGGCCACCTCATGAGAAGAGAAGACTCCCTGGAAAAGACCCTGATGTTGGGAAAGATTGAGGGCACAAGGAGAAGGGGTCGATAGAGGACAAGATGGTTGGACAGTGTTCTCGAAGCTACAAACATGAGTTTGACCAAACTGCGGGAGGCAGTGGAAGACAGGAGTGCCTGGCATGCTCTGGTCCATGGGGTCACGAAGAGTCGGACATGACTAAACAACTAAACAACAACAACATGCATGCCTACATAGAAGTAAGTAGTTCAATAAAACTTACTCCTAGGTAAATGTGTATAGGAGTGAAGTCTTCATTTCTCTATTGTTCTTCTGTTGCTCTGCATGGTGTTCTGCTCCTCCTAAATGTCAATTTAATCTAGAATTTATAAAACACCATACAAAAAAAGGATATTGAGACAACGGTATCTACAGTCTCATTAGGTTTGCTTGGGATTGTGTTTTTTTCCAAGACAGGGTGTAGCACAGGGATAAAAACAGAAACACCATGGAAATGGAGGTGGGAAGCTGGAAAAAAAGTTTTGTTTTGAAATGTATGTGTGAAATTTTTGAAAACTTAATTTTTTAAAAAAACAAAACTCCACAGATTTGCTTGGTTTTCGTGGTGTGATTCTGTGCATCCCTTAAATACCGTATTTTTCGCCCTATAGGACACACTTTTCCCCCTCCAAAAATGAAGGGGAAATGTGTGTGCGTCGGATGGGGCGAATACAGGCTTTCGCTGAAGCCTGGAGAGCGAGAGGGGTCGGTGCGCACCGACCCCTCTTGCTCTCCAGGCTTCAGGAAGCTCTCAGCAAGCCTTGGGAGCCCGTGTCGGGCTCCCTAGGCTTGCGGATAGCAGCCTGCATCTCAAAGCCTGGGGCGCGCTGCACAGTGAGCCCCGGGCTTCGGTTCCCCGCCATGGTCTGGGGAGAAGTGCGCTTCTCCCCGCTGCCATCCCTGCAAGCTCGGGGGACAGTGGAGAGGCGCAGCACGCCTTCCCGCTGTCCCCTGACATGGTTTGGGCTTCAGGCAGATATCCGCAAGCAGTGGGAGCCCGGCGGGAAGTCGCGACGGTCTCCCAAGGCTTGCGGAGAGCTGCCTGTTTTGTGGGCTGGAGTGGGGGAAGCTCGGGCTTCCCCCGCCCCAGCCCCGCGCCTGGGGGGGAAATATTTTTTCTCTCGTTATTTCCCCCCTCCAAAACTAGGTGCGTCCTATGGGCCGGTGCGTCCTATAGGGCGAAAAATACGGTACTGCCTGGAAAAATTATTGACACATATTACGATTGCATCAAAATTGCCTTTGGGCAGCATATGACCAATGTAATAGGTAACAGGAACAGGGCGAACGCATGAATGAACTGAATATTTGTTCACAAAGAGCTCTCTCTATATAAAAAAAATCCCTGCAAAAGAAAAAATGTCTAATGCATCAGTTCCGCTTCAGAACAATGACCTGCTAATTTTGAACTTCAAAATCTAGGAAGGTGTTCTGATGAACATTTCAGAAGAATCCATAGGAACACAGGAAGTTGCTTGATTCTGAGCCCGATCATTGAGGTTCATGTAGCTCAGTATTGTCTGGCAGTGGCTCTCCAGGGTTCAGGCAGGAAACTCCTCCAACCCTACCTGGAAAGGGCAAGGTTCGAACCTGATAGCTTCTGCATGCAAAGCAGATTCTCTACCACTGAGCTACAAGCCACCCCATTGAACCACACCTAGCACTAACATCTCCCAGATATGGAATTTTATGCTGAAAGAGAACTGGCCAGGGCTTTCCCAATAAAAGCACACACACACACCCCATGTCACATAAAAAAACAAAGTTGTGGTGGGAAACCTATTTAGCTCCATGGTCCTGATTCTTATCAGGATCTAGCACTGTGGATCAAATATTACAGGTGGGCAGGGCTGCTTACCTGTCACTCACATGATATCACACATCATTCCAAACTATGTACAGCCTCTGTACTGGCTGCAAAAGGCAATTCTCTGATTGTGCATTGGCAGCTGTTTCTACCTGCCTCACATCTGGCATCCTTCTTCTTTGGTGATCACTCATAGCTGAGTAGGATTGTCTTCCATAAACACGGTTTTAACAATGAGTCCATAAGTGACTGTGGAGGCCAATTCTCGACCCCCACGTTCTTCCACAGTGGGGACGTTTGGTTCCCAGGCAGGAGTTGATCATGCTGTGGATTTGCCAAGCATGTCTTCCTCTTGGCACATTTCTCCCTTGCGTTCTGAGTTTGAGTATCTTCAAAGTCCATGACACCTTAGGTAAAGGCTATTCTCCAACTGGAGCATTCGCAGGCCAGTGTTTCCCAGTTGTCGGTGTTTATACTACATTTTTAAAGATTTACCTTGAGACAGTTTTTAAACCTCTTTTGTTGACCACCAGCATTACGCTTTTCGTTTTTAAGTTTGGAATAGAGTAGTTGCTTTGGAAGATGATAATCAGCATCCTCACAACATGACCAGTCCAACAAAGTTGATGTTGAAGAATCATTGCTTCAACGCTGGTGATCTTTGTTTCACCCAGTACACTGATATTGGTTCGCCTGTCTTCCCAAGTGATGTCTAAGATTTTTTGGAGACACTGTTGATGGAATCTTTCGAGAAGTTGGAGATGGCGTTTGTAAGTGGTCCATGTTTCAGGATACATTTCCTTTCTACTACCATTGATTTAGGATTGCATTGATCTTCCTTAAGCTGTCCGTTTCCGCACCATGAACGTGAGTCTATGAGACTAGTTGTCTTCTGCAAAACCATTCTCCTATACATGTGTTTTTTGTTTTTGCTTTTTTTTGGTACCTTGCTAAATTCCTCTTCCACTGAGTAGGACGAATCTGGGAAACTTAAAACAACTCACTGTATGAGTGTCTCTAGTCCCCTCCACACCTATTTATTACAGTGGGGGTAGATCACCAGGAGAAGAGAGTCTGCCTCCTGCAGCTACTCAAGCTGCTGTCCCCATATGGGCCCTGTTCACACAAACACCATTTCAGTTTAACAAATGTGCACTGCTTTGCATCCTTTGCATTAGGTAACACCAGCACTTCCAATGAGGGCAAGCCATCCATCTGCATTCTATCTAGGCTGCCTCAAAGGAGGAGGAAGTGGGTGGGGGCAAGTGCCCTTTTGCTGGACCCCTGCGGTTGCATTTTTCACACAGAAGCCACCACTGAAATTAACTAGAAATTAAAACAAAGTTGCAGTCCTAAACAGGGTTACTTGAAAGTTAACTCTTATATCCAAAACAATAAGACTGACACCCGAGAAGATATGTTTGGATGAGAAGCATTAATGTGAAAATACGCCCTCCTTTCTCTCACCTCCTTTCTCTGCTCCTGCCCATATATTCTGTTTTCCTTATGCAACCACTGCTGCGTTGCCATTCCAGGTGGTAAGGAGGATTCTACCATGCCAAGCTTGCACAATTTGCGATACACCAACCTGGACCCAGGCACCAACCCTATGTTGTGGCCCGCCAGCTGGTTGAGAACCCTTTATAGTCACAGACATATAGCAAAGCCAGGAGATTTATTGAAACCCTAGTGGACCACTTCACAGCTGGATTGCATACACACAGTCTACTGTATAACCTTATAGCAATCCTGTAGCCACTTATCCTGGAATACTCCAAGTTCTCAACAAGATTTACTTTTATGTAGACATGGATAGGCTTGCACTGCTCGGCATTCAGATACTTCCAACTGCATTAGAAATACTCAAAAGCTTTCACAAACATATTTTCCCCCTCCTTAAGGTTTAGAACACGGCTTTCTAAACTGTTGGTGATGTGCAGTGCTTTTTTTCTAGAAAAATAGGTGCTGGTACTCACCATGAAGTTGTTACAGTAAATGTCTCACTTCTTACCAACAACAACAACAACAACAACAGAAGTGCTGGTACTGCATACTCTTAAGTAGCCCCTGAAAAAAAGCACTGGTGACACATTTTTTAGACATGCATCATTTTGCGACACAGTAATTAATGTTTTCCTAGCAAACTGGAGGTGAAACAAACCCCTTTCTTGCCCCAGGAGGAGTGCAGGGAGCATTCACGTGATGCACGTACACATCAATGTGCCACAACAGTTTGGAAAGTTCTGGTTTAGGAAGAGAGGAAAAATGAAAGAAGAAAACTTTGCTGCAGAGAATAAGGAGGTGAAACAAAACAGTGTGAGCTAAACCATGGGTAGGCAAACTAAGGCCCGGGGGCCGGATCTGGCCCAATCACCTTCTAAATCGGCCCACAGACGGTCCGGGGAATCAGCATGTTTTTACATTAGCAGAATGTGTCCTTTTATTTAAAATGCATCTCTGGGTTATTTGTGGGGCATAGGAATTTGTTCATTTTCCCCTCAAAATATAGTCCAGCCCCCCACAAGGTCTAAGGGACAGTGGACTGGCCCCCTACTGAAAATGTTTGCTGACCCCTGAGCTAAACCATGTTTATTTACCTATTAGTATTTTTTAAAGAAAGCATTCCAGTCTGACATGCCTAGCTTTCCCACATACATTGGTGTGTAACTCAAACTGGTTTTTGATTTGGGGGAGAAAAACCTGCAAACAGCTCCGATCTTCACTTTCTTTATGGCAAAAATCAAAGCATCCTACTTATGCCAATGGGACTCTCAAGGTTTTTCACTCAGACTACTAAGCTTTACCAGTGTTAATGGCTGAGCAGTACATTGACCCGTGATACACTGATGACTTTGTTATGTTAATCTCAGTTGTGTTAGAATTTAGCAGAGATGTGCTCAGAATGAAATGCAGCAACACAGTGTTTTGCTAACCTCGGATGGGTGACGTGGAGTGGGAGAAGCAGAGACAGGAATAGATATCCTATAACATTTGCTCACGATTTGTCTACATGGAATTATTGATCAAGATTAACTGAAGGTGTACGTTTTAAGCCTACGCGAGTTAAATTGGATTAAGACCCATGTATTCATTCTTGATTTTGATTAAAAGTGATTAGTGTAGCTTCATTAAAAGAAAGTTAAGATAAAGCTGGAATAAATAATGACTAATCCAAATAAGTGTGGTTTAGGCAAAAAACTTACATTAGATATAATGTAAAATTTAAGCAGTAATGCTCTATGCAGTTTCACTGTTGACCTCTTCCTCCACCACCATCATCACGAGGTTTGAGATTCTGAAAGAACAAGTGTTCTACAAAATCTAAGTGACAAAGCTCATCTCACAGCTTGTTAGTTTGATGGCATATACCTCTTTAAGGTGTTTTATCATGAGAAGAGATGGAAAGGGAGAGAGAGCTGTGTTCAAATGGGGTCTTTCTTAAATGACACCATATTGCTATACCTAATCAAATATATGATTCATCAACTGATGGATTTCTTCCTTCGGTTTATGTTTTTCTGAGATGCAAATATTTAGGAGTGGTGAGGGAAACATAGCAGGTCATAGAATCATAAAATTTTAGAGTTGGAAGGGACCCTGAGAAGAAGAGGAGGAGGAGTTTGGACTTGATATCCCACCTTTCACTCCCCTTAAGGAGTCTCAAAGCGGCTAACAATCTCCTTTCCCTTCCTACCCCACAACTAACACTCTGTGAGGTGAGTGGAGCTGAGAGACTTCAGAGAAGTGTGACTCGCCCAAGGTCACCCAGCAGCTGCATGTGGAGGAGTGGTGAAGCGAACCCGGTTCACCAGATTATGAGTCCACTGCTCTTGTGGAGATCGAACCTGCAACCTTGGTGTTATCAGCACCACGCTCTAACCAATTGAGGTCTAAACCAGGAATTGTGGTTAGTATTAACTACAGCTTATTGAAACAAACCAGGATAATTAAGTGTGATCTGATAATTAAGTGTTGCGGTACACCATTGTTCACACCAAGAACAGTCTGAGTTCAGAGATATTACTAAGCCGTGCTTAGCTGAAAATGGAAGGCATCTTCCTCATGACCTTGCCAGAGGAGTTGGGAAGAGAGAGAGAGATCATGACCCTAAAGCTTGCATATTAAACTATGGGTTAAGTCACATGTGGAAACAGTCATTGTATCAATAGTCTTTAAAACCGGGTTATGTTTACAATGAATGTATCATAAACAAAGACTAACATTTTAAAATGACACCTACACATTTCATTTTATTTTGATGGTCCTGAATTCCCAATCCCTGAATTGGGCTGTTTTGTTTGTGAGAAAACCGCTGCCACTGAAAGAATATTTTAAATACTAGATCTCTTTGATACTCCTTCTTCTGTGTTCCTCTTCCTTGTCTTCCTCTAAATCATCTTCCATGAGGGTTGAATAATCTTGGTCTGCTCTAGAATTTACTTACTGAAAGAACAGCATCCGAGATGTCTTGGTTGTACGATTCTGTGACATATCTAATAGAGACTGGATGTTGAAAGTGACCCAGATTACAGTGTATTTTTATCTCCTCTCCTCCTTGTTTCAATGTGATCTCTCCACTCGCAACAGAGAGCTTCCATATGCAGTCTAGCATTCCAGGCTCCCTAGAAAGCTGAGTGCAGGATTCCTCACACATATTACTGCCTACAAATATGTCAGGATGGCCCTGGCAAACGCAGAGCCGCTGTCCCGTTTCAGCGACCCAAGGAGCTGTGGGCACGTTATGCAGGTTTCTTTACCTGGTATGTAGGACACTTTAATGAGCCCTCTCTGGATACAATCCCTTGCATGATGTAACTTTATCATCAAGTGCTTCGTTC